TAGTTCCCACGAAACACTAACTCATTTCCAAAAACACTGGTTACACCTCGAAAACACCCACATTTTGCCTTCCGCGTCCCGCCGCTCCAGCTTGCAAGTATCCCAGCCGACTCCCTCGTCGACCCCACTTACAACGAGGGTCATTAGTCAAGGTGTAGCCTTGTTGGAAAACCTCGACCAACAGCGCTACGCTAAACGAGTCCGCTACTCCACCGTTATTGCTGACGAGCCCGACGACTTGGACTCGAACTCACCTATCTACGACTCCTTTCTCGCTTCCCAAGGAGCTGAAAGGATTGTGATAATGACAAACTTCTCGGAATATCGGCTCTGGACGAAAGTCGGCGGTATCTGCTCGCGACCTGCTGTTGATGCTGTTCAATTCGTTAAAGCACTGCGGTACTTGGGACGTCGTTGCGGCAGTATTCAAGCCAAAACCGACTTCCTTCGAGAAGCGCGTCATATCCTTCCTGATCGTTTCCACCCATACCTCATGCGAACGTTCGTCACGGCTGTCGAGCATAAGTGGACAATGCAGGCGCTCGCGGAGTCGGGGCATCGATTCAAGAACTTTCCGGCTGCTCGGTACGCCACGGACGTCACGGTTCAGCAAACGAATGTACCGGCCGGTGTGTATGCAGAGAAATAGCTATACTACATCGGCAAACACTCCATATATGGACACAAGGTCGAAATATCCGTGGTACCGAATGGCTTTGCGATCGACTGCACCAAGTTCTACAAGGGCAGCGTGTCGAACAAGACAATCTTCGACGAGAACATCGACTGCCACCTGGCCAACCTGGCAAAGCGCACCGGTGAGACAACGCTCGAAGCCTTGGAGCCTGGCATGGAGCAATGGGCCGTTCTAGCTGACAAAGGCTACCAAGGTAATCAGCACAATGTTTGGGCGGTGCTGCCATTGAAGAAGCCGGTAGGTGGCATACTCACATTTGCCGAGCAAGCGAAGAATGACCGTATTGCCAGCGATCGCGTCATCGTTGAGAACTACTTTGGTCGGTTGAAGACATTCTGGGCCACATGTAGCAAATACGTACCGTTGGAGCCGCAAGAGCTACGACATTGTGTTCCAAGCGTGTTTGGCCCTGACCAACGTCCATGTCCGTCTCCATCCCCTGCGTGCAGAAGATGGTGATGCCAATGCCCAGTACATCAATCGACTCAACGCAATCGGCGCAAAGATCATCCAGACGAAGAGAGCCGCTGGGAAGGCGTACAGGTCAAATAGAAAGGTGAGGTTGGGTATGGTTTTTGCTTCGGAGAATACTTTTACTCGTGATTTGCCTGGAAGCGGCACCGAACTTGGCTCTGACAATGAAGATGGAAACAGTAGTTTTATCATGTAATTCGGAATATGGACCATTTAGGACAATGTACTTGGTTTAGGAATTTTATAACAAATAGTGCTGGATAAATAACGGAAGATGGCGGGTGATTGCTTGGCATAGATGATATAAAAAGAACGCAATTGCCTTAAAAAGTACATGAGTTAGGTGTATTCAGGATTATTTGAGGTCAAATACCCTTCAAGGACATCAATTGTCTTTCGGAAAAAGGTTGATGTCCACGTAAAAGTCCCATGCTTCTCGTCGAAGACTGCGTTTTCGGGCAAAGTAGAATTGTTACCAGTATGTGGAGAAGCTTATCAGCTCATTAGTAGTCTGTCATACATCTCACCTATGAGTAAGAGGTCTATTGGATATTTAATTTGTTCAGCGGCTATTGTGATGGCCATCCGTCACTGACAAGAATATGACTGATTTCGTTTGATTCCTAGTTTTATCCTGACTCGTCGTTAATCTCACGATACATCATGCAAACTGGTTTTACAGCCTATTACTCGGAAAGTAATGTGAATCATATGTAAGGGTAAGTTCATTGTCAGAATAATACTAGTAGAGAGTATTCGGTGAGTTAATCCGTTGGGCAAGTGCAAATGCGACATTCCTCCGTTTGGTAAGTACACGATTGTATTAATTTACCGTTAAATTCACGTAGCTACGAGCTTTAGCTACGTCACAGATAATCGATATCGTAGCTACGAACGCTGTGGAAGTTGCACAATAACAGCATAGCTGAGGTTTAGTTGCAGATCTGCTTCCAACTTCGCTTGAAATTTACATACAGACCATAATTTACAACGACATCCATGATACATCGCAGCACGACCGATTTGACCAAGTGCTTCATCGATTTCCCCTTCCCCAAGTATGGAGTAAATGTAAAATGCAACAATCTCATTGTACTAGTAGTTGCACGGCATGTTATGAAGTACTAGTACTACTTTGTACTACTAAACTGCCTCCTAAATTTTACTATAAATCGAGCATGGACGTGGTCATCGCATGGATGGCGTGTGAGGCCAGCTATGTGCGCTGGGAAGGTGGAGACAAGCACTCGGGTGCTACAAAGGCGTCCCTTGCAACCGAGATTGTCGGCAAGCTCGGAGCGCATGGTATATTTCACCGCACTGCCAAGGACGTTGTTCAAAAGATTGGAGACGTTGAACGATATCATACCGCAGCGCTTGCGATTGGCTTTCCAATACTGGGCAAGGTATTGTCGACGAGGACAGCATCCAGAAGGAGGTGCACCGAATTTGCCCGTACTACTACACGTTGGATGAAGTGATGCGTGATCGGGCGTCGACGGCGCCGCTGGTCACAAGCGACGACCTCGACTTGGGTGGGTCCGACAACGAAGCCGAACCAAGCCTGCCGCCACAAGCAAGCGAACATGAGAAGAAACGATAGCAATCAGCGTCCAAGGCGAAGTTGGACGAATGGGCTGAGATAAACTCGCGCGCATTTGAACTGAAGAAGCCGCAGTTTCAGTTCAACCGTTACATCGAAGAGCGCAAGCTCGAAGTGGACCACCAACGCGAGACGAGGTTGGCGGAAGAATCAAGGTTGAACGTGCGCCTCTTGACGATTCAAGCCGACGAGGCCCAATGGAAATTTGAGCACAACAAATATATCGCGGAATTGGAAATGCGCATACAGAAAATGCAAACCAGCAAAGACCTCAAAGCCAGGGGATGTAACGACGAGGGTATTAATGCAGCTTGCTCGATGTAATTCATCAATTGTACAGTGTATTGAAAATTGTTTGTTAAAATGGATATTGAGTTGCATTAAGTACTTGCTCGACTACCTTATCGCGGACAGTCTTCCTTTCTGGTTCATCCCCGTCTTCAACAATATTTTAATTTCTAAAATTCGGGAAACAAACGCGGCACCCACGCACGTCAGCATTACAATTGCAATTGATTTGCAGTTCAATCCACGAAGCAGGGACAACATCATGCTCAGTGACCAGAAAGTTGTACAACGATTGTTTTGATAATACCTTTCACCTCCTTCTTGCCTTCCATGATTTTACGAATTCTCTTGAGATGTTGGAACCGACCCTTCAACATCCCAATGCAGTACTCGGCATTGATTCGCCCTTTTACCAAATGGGAGTTAAACCAAGATTTAAAATGCTCCATGGGCTGATGGGGCTGATTTTTGAACGCAGGGACAAGACAAGTTGATTCTTGATACGCCGAGTCGCCCAAGAGGTAATGATTACCAGATACATACTGAAGACGGCGATTAAAGATTTTGTTGTAGTGCCACACACGATTGTCATGGGTTGACCCATGCCAGCCAGCATGAACGTCGCGAAAAATACCACGGTGATCACAATGATCTGAGCAGCCACGGCATAGCAACCTTTACGGGAGTAGTAGTCTTCGCCACACAGCGTCGGCTTAAATTCATAGGGGAAGAAAGTGCCGTCGATGAAGCCAATGCAACCGGTAAACCCACACATGGCATATATGTCCAAAGAGATTGAACTGGCCTCGACATGATTTGGCCACAGGATGAACTGGTCACGCAGCCTCACGATGGCGTCCATGACTCGCTGAATGTACAACGTGATGGTACCAGCACCAATACCAAACAATGACGACATGTGCTCGTTCGAAACGGCATTGCAATTGGCACCAAGAAAATAGAGAAACACCAGGAGTTGATGGGACACTAGTCGTTGGGTAGAGCTGGATGACATCTGCATGAACGAGGGATCTGCCTGAATCAAGACCACAATGTGGTCAAACGAGCTACGCTCGACCCGGAACAGTTTTCAGAATCGTGTCGGGCGGGTCTCGAACAAGAAGTGGTGGAACCGTGGTGCTTTGAATGGATCGTTGATCCGGCGGGACAATAATCGTCGGTCTCAATCGATCGGATCCAACAAATGAGCTGGCTGTCAAGGTCATCTTCGTCGCTGTCATTTTCACTCAACACAGCTCGTTCCATACGCATGAGTTGGCGTTTATCCAGAAGCATCATGTTGGAGGGTAAACTGTCGTTCACTGCGTCGGACCATGTTTGTTACTCGTCGCCTTTTTTGGACTTGCAGGG